AGTGTTTCAAAGCCACCACAAGTGGTTTCTCCCACCAACAATTGGTATCAGAGCCCCGTTCGTCAGAAAACAGAGGTATTTTTGGGAAATATCTGAATTTTCAAAGTTGTCAAAAACAAGTTTTGATCATTCCAAAGTGTAGTATCCCCTCCGAGTGTTTCAAAGCCACCACAAGTGGTTTCTCCCACCAACAGTTATTAGTATGTAGGACATTGTTCTCATTATTTTCTAATGTGATTCTTTTGGTCTTGGTCAGTCGAATGATCAAAAGGCCTGCTCTCCTGAATGCTTTTGTATAACTCCCTTTATGTTAAATCGTGTAATTCGTAGCTTAAAACTGCACTTTTGGATGGAATTCAATATTTTGGTCATTGATGATAAAGAAAACCGTGATTACTCTCTTTGATATTGATGTATGGAATTTGAAAGGTTCTGAACAGTCATTTGAAAATATATTATAATTTAACCATGTAGAAAACCTAGGATATATATATTTACTTATTGACCAGGACAAGTCTAAACCTTGGAAGAAGCCTAATCAAAACAACCCGTAACTTTTGATTTGATTATTAGATCATGTTTAAATTCAACTAAGAGGTTTTACAAATCCAGTTATTAGGGGTTGGATCGTAACCAGCTGAGGTTTGGGAAGGCACTCAAATTTGGCTCATAAGATGCTATGTTAGTTTTGTTATTTTCTGCTTTATTTTTGGATTTTCAACATAATTTTGGATTTTGTGTTATTTTTCCAACGTAATGGTGGATTCTAATTTTTCCTTCCTTGTGAGAGCCAATTTCTGACCTATTGTAATCCTCTATCAAGAGGTAGACCATCATAGAGAATAAAATTCAGTAATAAAACACAGATTAAAGCTGTTGTTGTTGAGACAATTTTTCTGATAATTTTGACTTATATGTGCTTTACTTCCTTAATGCCTAGGTTCGGCTGTGCCAGTTTTGCTCTGCATAACCTAACATCCCTATTTTATTTACTGGTGAGCTTCCACTTCAATCCAGTGAACCAATGCTTTTTGCATCTTTATTATTGATGATGATGATGATGAAGATGATCAAACTGCAAAGTTGGTAAAAAAAGTTAAAGATGGAGATTCTTTACTAAACATAGTATAAATTAGATTAAACTATGAATTATCTGTATTTAACAAGAGACCATTTCATTACAGAGTCAGATCACTTGGCCAAGACGACTCCATGCACAGTTACAATCCTCATATCCGAAGTAAAATGAGGTATGCAACAGTAGACAAGGCATATGTATTGAATCCTTCGTATGTGCATGCAGCCATCAAAAAATTACAATAAGACTGATTGCCGATAGCTACCAACATTTCTGCATGGAAAACCTTCTATCTCTTCTTGGTTAGAAAGAAACAAGAGTGGCAAGAAAGCAAGTAGCAGTGAAAGTTCTCAAGTTTCTTGAATGTTTGATTGCTCTACTTTTCATTCTTTCTATTTATTTGGGATAATTACTGCGTTTGGTTGCTAAGAACTTTCAAGAAAGAAATTTTAGAATCTTGAACGTCATTGAATTGTTAATTTTTAGTGTTTTTTTTGGCTTCTAGGTTCTTTGTGAAGTAGAAAACAAAATAAGACATTCAACTAAGTAGAATTTAAGGAACTTGGTTCTTCTTTTGTGTCCTGTGGCATTCTCACGTTTCTTTAACTTTTGGGCTCCCGGAATTTGGATATTTTTGTCATATATTGGGATTTGGGGATGTTTGGTCGCTAAGAAAATGCAAGAAAATAAGAAGAAATTGTCTTGAATTCAATTTATTGTTTCTTTTCAGTGGTTTTTCTTTTGTTTTCGTTCTGTCCCTTTTCTTCTCCCTTGAGAATAGTTATTTGTTCTTTCTTGATAATCTTCTATTTTTTGTTGATTCATTGCATCTTAGCTTTGAATCTCTTGCCCTTTCTGAGAAATTGTCTGTGTTTGGTTGCTAAGAAAAGGCAAGAAAGAAAAATCTGGAATCTTGAATCGCATTTATTGTTTCATTTCATTGAATTTCTTGTTTTTCAGTTTTTTTTTTCTTCCAAGTTTTGTTACTTCTGGAGTAAGAAACAAACCAGCATTGACATAATAAATCATTTTCTTCATAATGTAATATTGTTTATTGTCAAATTCAGATAATGATACATTTCCTATGCAGCACCAAGAGAGATCCCACGCCTGGACAGGAGAAAGTGATTGCTTGCATTGAGTTGAAATGAGCAAGGTGGAGGTATTGAATTCCTTGTTAATTATCCGTAAGAATCTGAGTTGGTTAAGTGAAAATAATGTGGGCATTAGTGGTTATTAAATGAAATGAAAGTCCCACAGGAGAAGCAAGATTCAGCAGAAGAAACAAGATTGTCAGCACTGGCATCTTGGAAGCGACCAAGAAGGGAACACTCTGGGGCTTCATTTGTGGGCTCGATTTTAGTGAAAGTGCCAAGTTGTCAGGTGGAGGGGTGCCATGTGGCGTTGTTGAATGCTAAAGATTTTTACAGGAAGTATAGAGTTAATTTGTGAGACGCATTCCAAGGCTCCTAATGTAATTGTTCGAGGTTTGGGGCAGCGGTTCTGTTAGATATGTACCTGGTAACATTAGCGTTTCTCACTCTCTCAATTACAGCCAGCTGATTTGTTTTAGCCTATAGTAACTATTCCTGGATTTATGAGATTTTCTTCAGTTGTCTTGTCTTTACAGAATCTGATGTAGAGTGACAGTTTGCCTGGAATGATGATTGCTGGATGGGCTTCTTGGTGAGATTAAAAGTGGGCTTAGCTTGTTATTTGTGTAGGTTTCATGTAGTGTCAGAGTATGATGGTGAAAAGAGGAGTTGTAGGAGGACATTGGCAGAGCGCAGAGAAAGAAGAAGAAAGAGCTCTCAGGATTCTGTTTCAAGGAATGCTTCTGAAGGTATGTATGTAATGTCCTTTCAATTGACTTGTTTCTGTAGCTCTTCGAAAAAAAAAACAATCAGTTTTGTCTTGCGCTTCCATTCTTTCTAGGTAATTCAATTTCCGTTGTTGGAATTAGATGATGATGACTAGCTTTTTTTCTAAAGAACTGTCAGGAATAACCTCATGAAGATGTCCCTTTTCTTTTCTTTTATTTTGAGAAGCAAAGTTCATGTTCTTTCATAATTTGAATAGAATATCTGATTTCTGGTGTACTTACCAACTTCCATGGCCAAATCTCAATCCAGGATCTACTATATTGCCTGATCCTCTAGAGCCAAATCTCAATCCACGCTCTCCTATATTGCCTTGCCTGATCCTCCAGCGCCAAATTCCAATCCAGATTTTGGTACTCTGCTTGATCATTCACAGCCAAAAATCGATGGTAAATCTTCATTTCTTCCCTTTATCTTCTTATTCTGTCTCTTTTTGACAAATTGTGTTCCATTATGTTGTCATTTGATGAGAATCTCAATCATCCTTGGACGCTCAATCAGAAGAAGAATCCTAACGCAAGGCGCTTACAATATTAAGCCTGGAAAAGTTTCACTGGTTGTTTGGCTGCATGGTGCATCTACTTCATCAGGGTAACTTTGAAACCTGAAGATGATTAAGGCTGGCGAAAAATGTTGTCCCGCTACTGTATTTTCCCCCTTTCCTTTTTGCAGCAGAATATGTTTCATGTATATTGAATCAGACAAATCTATGTAGTTGACTCCCAATTGAGTTAACTCAATTGAGTTTTATTCCAAAGCTCTTTTATAATTACTTCAGAAAAAATTCAAAGTGCAGATACACATACGACACAGAAATCAACTTAATTACAGTAAAGCAAGTCTTGCAAATGGAAGAGCTGCTTTCTCTCCGAAAATTACTGTCTAACCAACTCTACAACCAACTAACGATATTAACAGCTTGAATCCTCACCATTTGCCGAAGTATTCTTGTTTTATTTATTTATAAAAGACGAGAACTTCAATAAAATATTTTATAGCCAGGAAGAAAATGTCTATACAGGACTAAACAAAACAATGTCTTAATAACCCCCTAACAGAAACCAAACTTTGAGATTATTAAAAACTAAAACCATGCAACTCAATCTGTTTCTCTAGGAATCAACTCCTTGCTTTGCCGAATGATCTATCACAAAACAAAGGATACTCCCAGAATTTGAAATATCATAGAATTCATCTTATAAGCGTCATGGTCTCATCATATTGTGGCTCTTGATCCATGTAATGGCATTATATAAATCAAACTTCTTGTAAGTGTATAGGAACAATTCATATACACTTAAAAAGCTTTTTTAATTGTCAAAACTTCAGTCACATTTGATTCTTTTATACCTGTAGAACAAAAGAAAACACATAAAAGATTTCCTTCATGATCTCTTAAAAAGTGACCAATGCTAAATGGTTGGAGTTTGCCATTTGAACAACTATCCATATTCCACTTTAACATCCTTACCGGAGGTGGTATCCAAGTCGAATTACATTGTATTTTAGTTGTGTCAATCCAAATAAAAAGCTCATCAGGTGATTGAAGCAAATTTGTTCCAATATAGCAAAAAAATTCACAATCATATTTTGCTCAAGATGTTACTTTATGGGAAAGGAAATGATATATATCATCCCAATCAAGAAGTACCTAATTGGAAACCAAGCATTTCAAAGGGACCAAACAATACATAAAAGAATAATAACACATTTTTCTTTGCATAGAATCCATTATCATTTCATGCGCTGTAGGAAGAGTGTTTTTATCTCTCTTGAGTGTTTCAAACTCATCACCAATAATCTTTCCCACCAAAACATATACACTTTTGCACCAGGTCGTTGCCTATGTAAGTAAAATTCTTACACTTGATTTAAACCACATAGCCAATATGTAAGAATCAAGTCCAAAATCGTGTCCTAGTTTGGTTGTTTTTAATCAAAGATTAAGTTATTCCGAGTTAACCATATACCCCACGCTATCCCATAAGAGAGAATATTCCATGTTTTTTTTGCATCTTACCATTAACCAACGAATGCCATTGCAGAATCTGATGATCATCTTGTTGGTGGGAGAAACCACTGGTGGTGGCTTTGAAACACTCAAAGAGGATAAAACACACTCTTTATTTCAAGAATAAAAGCTTACAATAATTAAAACAAAAGTTTCAATGCACACCCTCTCTCTTTCTCTTTATATTTCTCTCAAATCTCTCCACACATAATTGCATAAGCTTAACTGCCTATTTATACACGAATTCAAAACAAGAAAATTCAACCTTCAAGTGTGAAGACGGCTGTGGTCGACGGTGTGAAGGCGGCTAGTGGCTGGACGGTTGGGCGGTGATAGCTAATGGCTGCCTTCCTTGACCTTCTAGATTGAGTTTATTTCAACAAATCTTCCCTTTAAACTCAATCGAGGGATGTCATGCCAAACATGAATTTCAATTTGACAAATACTTCTCTCTTGAATGGTTTGCAAAGATATCTGCAACTTGATCATTTGTCTTGCAGGATATTAGCTCGACTTCTTTATTCTTTACATACTCTCGGATAAAGTGATGACGTGTATCAATGTGTTTATTTTTTTCATGATACACCGGGTTCTTTGCCAATGCAATTGCTAATCGATTATCGATATAAATCTCTATAGGATTTTCTTGAGGAAATCCAAAATGCTTTAGCATATTAAATGGCATACAGCTGAGTTGACAACAACATACTCAGCTTCATAGCTTGATAACATTACTATCGATTACCTCTTGGATGAGCATGTAAAAAATGTATATTCCATGAAAAATACAAACCCTGTTGTGCTTTTCCTTTCATCCAGATCTCTACCCCAATCACTATCCGAGTAGCCAACAAGATTAGAGTTTTTGCTTGAGGTATAAAACATACCTTCATTTATTGTGCCTTTGATGTAGCGAAGAATTCTCTTGGCTGCATTTAAGTGAGACTAGTCTGGCTTCTCCATATATCTGCTGATCAGTCCAACTCCACTGGTCTGGCTTCTCCATATATCTACTGATCAGTCTGACTCCGTAGAGTATATCTGGTCTGGTACATGTCAAGTACCTTAAGCTTCCTACCAAGCTTTTAAAGTAAGTTGGATCAACATTTCCAACTTTACTTTTCCTCAATTCCACTCCATTCTCGACTGGAGTTGATACCAGATTGCAGCTTTCCATCTTGAACCTTTCAAGAATATCTTTGGCATAACTGCTTTGGGATACAAAAATCCCTTCTTCTTTCTGCACCATTTCTAAGCCAAGAAAATGTACCATCAGACCAATGTTTGTTATCTCAAACTTCTATACCACGCTTTTCTTGAAGTCTTCAAACATGGTAGATTTGTTGTCGGTGAATCTCAAGTCATCAACATATAGGTACACAAATAATATGCTACCATCTACTTCTTTCTTCACATAAATTGCTTGTTTATATGAATATTTTTCAAATCCACTATCTTGAAAATACCTGTCAATTCTGGTATTCCAAGCACGCGGAGCTTGCTTCAAACCGTAGAGGGCTTTCTTCAACTTGTATACTTTGCCTTCATTTTCATCATCAATGTATCCAAGTGGTTGTTCAACATAGATCTCTTCTTCTAGGAAGCCATTCAGAAATGCTGACTTCACATCAAGTTGATAGATCTTCCATCTATGTTGTGCTGCTAGTGAGATCATCAATCTGATTGTCTCTAGCCGGGCTACTGGAGCAAACACTTCTCCATAGTCAATGCCTTCTCTCTGTTTGTAGCCTTTCGCCACTAATCTTGCTTTGTATCTTTGCACTTCTCCTTTTGCATTCTTCTTTGTCTTATAGATCCATTTGACACTTATTGCTTTCTTATTTTCTGGTAGATAAGTTAGCTTCCAGGTATCATTCTTCTCAATGGCATGCATTTCTTCATCCATTGCTTCTATCCACTTCTTTTCTATGATAACTTCATTGAAGCTAAGTGGGTCACTATCTGCAAAGAAACAAAAAAGAGTTGTATCTTTTATGATTTGAGTGGCATCGTACAGCTTGTCTAGATTTCTCATCCTTCTTGGTCCTTTTGATGAGGATGCTGATAATGGTGTTGATGATGATTCTGGTGTGTTTCTCCTGTTGAATATAGGGAATCTGTGTATCGGACTTTGTGGCTCGTCTGCCAGTACTATCGGACCTTCTACAAGTACTGTTGGTACTTCTTCGTCTTCAAGGATCAAATCAGTACTGATCCATTTGATTGCTTCTTAGTCATCATTCCATTGCCAAGTTTTATCTTCTTCAAAGATAACATATCTACTCATAATTACCTTCTTTGTGATAGGATTATACAGCTTGTATCCCATCCTTCTCTCACCGTATCTGACAAAGATGCATTTTTCGCTTTTATCATCGAGTTTGGTCCTTCTTGCATCTGAAATCTTTGCATATGCCACATAACCAAAGACTAAAAAATGAGTAACACTTGGTTTGTGACTACTCCATGCTTCTTATGGAGTAACAACTTGCAAACTTCTAGTTGGGTAGCGATTCAATAGATACACTGCACATGATACAACTTCAGCCCAATATTGTTGGGCAGCTTCTTTGCTTTGAGTAGACTTCTTGCCATGTCAAGAATTGTTTGATTCTTTCTCTCAGCTACACCATTCAGCTGTGGTGTATAAACTGGTGTTGTCAGATGTCTGATGCCTTGTTGTGTACAAAAAGCTTCAAAGTCATTTACTGTATATTCTCCACCTTGATTAGATCTCACGGTTTTGATCTTATAACCACTTTGCTTTTTAACAATTACTTTAAAATATTTAAAACAATTGAACACTTCTGAC